ACTACATCGCGTTGAGGTTTTTGTTTAGCTGACTGAGTCGAGTGAATATCAGGTAATTTCAGTTCCATTTGCGGAACCTGTTTCCCTGTTTCTTTCCTAACTGTCTTTTTACCTCGTAAAACTACTCCCGCTTTTCTAAGCCGTCGAAGTTGAATTTCCAGTTCTCTGGCGGTTTGAGATCGTTGAAGCGATTCTGTCAGTCTGTTCACATTTCCTTGGTCATCAGACATGACTGACTTTGCATAAATGTTTATTTTGCGATGGAACTAGTAGTACAAGCTTATAAAGCTTATTTTGCTTGTAAACTACTCTGTCTGCATCATTAACAGTTACTCAATGATATTGTATCCACTCGTTAATGAATTTGGACCTGGTTTCGCGAGAAACGTCGCCGTATTTTTCAAATGAACTTTCGACCATTTATGCCCTTCTTCATAAAAAAGTTAAGACGTCGACTTCATTCGCGCTTAAAAGGAAAGCAAATACTCACTCAGAAGTTATGAAAGTACGGTTTTTTACTAAAATGCATTTTTTACTAGATATAACTCCCTTATTAACTATATTTGTTGCTATTGTTTTGACCATTTTCTCTGTTTTCCGTGCAGGAGTGTAAAGATGGTAGGCGCCAGCTTATTGCTACTGGCTGCATTGACCTAGCGGATTATATCAGCCAGACAAACAAAACATTTGACATGACTGTCACATTAAAACCAGCAATGAAGAATGTTCTATGGGGAACAATCGATTTCAACTTAACAATAACACCATGGTGAGTATTGTGTAATACGTGCTGTGTTTAGTAACTTTCCTCCTCCAGTATCTTCTACTTTTTTGAAGAGGCATAAACTATTAAAGAGAGTCAATGAAACAAAGGTGAGGATCGTTGTGAGCATTTTTGAGTGATGGAAGATGCCTTCAGATTAAACTGGGTTGTCGAGAACTCGCGTTCGGCTGTCAAAAACGAAGATCAAACCAAAAAAACGCCATCTACGTAACAAAGTTTTAAAATCTAGCTTTTGGACGCAATCTCCTATCGCAGTAGTATCTTCTCTATTCTCCTAGGTAAGGATTTGTACCAGAATTTCAACTGTCAATAAAAAAGCCCAAAAGCCCTTCCAAAGGGTCAGACTTAAGTAATTCATATTGGGCTCTAAATAAGAGCATGAGACTGAAAAATATTTTCTGAATAATAACTTGAATTTAACTGAAGGGTTCACTTAAATATTGCTTACTAGAAATTAATGTGTAGCCGGTCAGGAAGGATCGATGGAAATCATCAGCATCAATAATGTGCACAAGTTTGAAGCCATCCTTAAAAACCTTCTGGATCGGCCTCTGAAGTGCCAACTAAAATTTACCCAATGTTGTCACTTGTTAGATTTGTTACAGTTTTTTTTGTTATTTCGTTTGATTTTCTTTTTACCCCGAAACCTTTTTGTTCTATTTTGCCCAATCTTTTGCGTTTGTTTATATTTGTTAATAGAAGATATCAATAACCCCTCTGGACTAGTACATGTTTCCCGCTCGCTCTGGTTTGTGTCTAATTCACGTTTTGCTTATCACAGCCAAAGAGATGAGGAAAGTCAGGAAATATTCCGGGAAATCATGGCAGACGCTTTTAAATTAGCCAAGCAGAGGATTGCCAAAAATGTTTCCTCCACGAAACACAGGGATCCACTTCTGTTTCCCTTTGTCGATAAACCATCAGAGATTCCTTATACACCAAAGAAAAGAAAGAGCAAGAAAAGAAGAACCAAAGATAGAGCAAATAACACGCCTGACAGTAATAACGCACATGAAGGGGAAGCAAAAGAGAAAATGAACAGTTCTCAACCACCGCAGCCAGTCACTCATCCATAGTGAGTATTGTGTATATTTAATTTAATTTATAAGCACATTGTGTATGGTAATTTATAAATTGTCTTCTGTATGTGCTCTCGTAGAATCCTTTTTTTCAAACATGTCTCTGGTACTTGATTTTTTTGAGCGTTCATGAAGTGTATAATCCGAGGCCAGGAAGGACGGAAGTCATTAGCTTCAATCACGATGTGTACACAAGTTCAGACTCTCCTCCACAAAACTGAATCTTCTGGATCACAGAGTTATCTCAACTATTTTAATACAAGAGGGCACCAAAACATTATTTTTTTTACTCAATCTTGTTATTTGTGTCACTAACTAGACTTCTTGTAGCATCTTTTATTTTTTCTTGAGCCCCAAACTGTATTGATTTTCCTTTTAGTATTCTTTCGATTTATGCCATTTTTATACATGTTCATGTTTGCCAATATTAGATATAAATAACCCCAATTGTCTATTTACTTCCCTGCTCGCTCAGTTTTTTATCCTATTCATGGCTTGCTTGTTTTCATCATAGTCGAAGCAATGAGGATGAAATCCGTGAGATCATGGCAGACGCTATCAGATCAGCCAAGCAGAGAATAGCCAAAGCTGCATCTTATATGGAGCACATTGATCCATTTCTGTTTTCCTTTATCAACAAGCCATCAAAGGATCCTACCTCTGGCAAAGAAGGGGCAGATAACATGCTTGACAATGTTAACAACGATTATGGAAGGAAGGCAAAGGTGGAAAACAAAAGTCCTCTTCCAGCGCGGCTCGCGGCCACTGCTCCAGCACTAAATGATGGCTCTTCAGGATGCGGTGAAAAAGGCGACATGCCGCCTTGTGGCTCTGGAACATCTGGTCAACTCACTGCACCTGACGTGTTGGAGAATGGTCCAGAACAAGGTAGAGTAACAAACCAAAAACATACAATGTAAACTCTTTGTAGAAAAGCGCATAGCGAGTATAAAGGTGAGCATTACATCCTACCCACATCTTAATCAAATCTACATTCTGGTAGTTCAGCAAATTCGCCTTTTTCCGTGTTTGGAGCCGACTAATTTGTGAAGTGGAATCCTACATTGAAGGGGACCATAGTCAGTTGTCCGCAATAGACGCGACAAGAATTGCAATCGCCATATAGCCTTCATATAGCCTGTTCCAGGCTCCAAGACATTAGCGCATGCGTGCAATAAAGTGATGCGAAAAAGGAGTTGGGCCCGATCTCGCACGTGTTATTTTTGCTTGGTTTGTTTTATTTTCGCGTCGTTCTTCCCATCTGACATCTTGGCAGAGAGCATAATAGCCGAGGTCGCCAGCTCCTTACTGAGGAAAATCTGAAAGGAAGCTCCAAAAAAAAAATGAAACTTAAATGTAATTGATAACTAAATCATCTTCTGAACACCCAAAAACCATTTAAATAGATTGTCTGTCTGTTTCAGCAGCATCTGTGAATTACCCTGAACTGTCAGCTTATGTGAGCGCAGAGATGAAGTCACTCCAGGAAGAAATTGATTCCCTGAGAAAAGTAACAGTCAAGCTAGAATCTGAAATGCGTCAGGCAGTGGAGATTGAAGGTCAGTAATGGCCTACAATCCTTTAATCAAAATCTCTTTTAAGAGTTTAAAAGCCAGTACATATGTTTGAATGACATGTAATGGTTCGGCTTTAGTCGAAGCTGACGCCATCAGTTGTTCAAACCATAGCACTATCCACCTAATAAATCACAATTTAGGGGATAAGTTTTAAAGAAACCAATTGTGTTATCTACTGGATAAAGATTTTCAAAGAGTTATCAACTGGATGGATGGTATTTTTAACCTTTTGTACAGGATCAGGGCTATTGTTAGTCCGTATTAAATGGTGGCAGCATTTAATCAAATCTGAGTTTCATTTCTCATTTGTATGTAAAGATATTTTTCTAGAAGCAGTCGAAACTGACAAAATATCTGATGAATATCTTGTATTTAGAGTGCAAAGAGGAGCTTGATGGTCTAAAACAAGACTGGATGATTTTGTTGAGTTACAGAGACGAGCTGGAAAAGAGACAAGCTGATCTTCAAATTCTGTAAGTGACACAGTTTAATTATCGTCTACTTGTTAAAAGGTCTTTGTGGTTCCCCTTTATAGAAATTCAGTCTTTTATAACGTTAATAATCTAAGCTATTGTTTTCCTGACTTTGTGTCACAGTCTAAGATGGTACACCCAGGGTACACCGTATCTTAATAAAGGCGCTTGATTTGAGCACAGACACACCAAGGGTGTTGGACAACACACTTTGATAAATCTTTAAATTGACTTGACTTGCTTCACAGCCAAAAAAAACATGATAGCTAGGAATACCTCTAACGGATAGCATGACAGTACGGGGTTTACGTGAAAACATTACTTCTGATGATAACGTAGCAAAAAATATTGACTATACAAACAGAGCTATAGTTTCAATAGAAATAGAAAAGAAATGTAAAAATCACTTTTTGTCCTCCTAGAACTTGTAACAACACTATAGGAGTCTTTACTAGATAAACTCATCTTTACAATGGAAGGTATAATTACATTTCTCTTTCAAACTGCTCATTCAAGAAGTACTTCTTGTATCGATTATAGACTTAATTGTTCGTGAAATTCCTAGCTGGCATCTTCGCCGGACAGTAAACAGTCGTACATGATATGGTCATTACCTGAATCAATGTGACAACTGGCCAGTTGTCACATTGACTAAGGTAATGGGCGGAGATATCCAGGAAACATTTGAATTTTGCCCTGTGACCCACACAATCATCAGTTTTCATCGCGACACAGAATATTTGAGACGGTTTCTAAATAACTTGCGTTAATGTGGCATAGGGGAGTGAAACTAAAGCCATGTTTTCAACATAAAGGGTGTTTAATGTCTAATCAAGTTCTTTTTGTGGTGATAGGGTTTCGCGGCTTCCCAAATAGTGTACCGCCTTTTTTTCGTTTCATACTGGTTCATTTTTGAAAGACAAGGAACCACAAGTAATGTCCATTGGAGTCTAATAAAGAATGCAGAATTTGATCGAAAATGTATTGTGTTATGATGTTTTCAGATTGGCGTAGAACAGACCATCACACAATGCAAGAAGCAAAGCTCCTGAATATCGTACATTGCCTTGAAGAAAAACAAAGAGAAACTTGCTGAACAGAAAAACTTGGTGAGCAGTTACCTATACCTCATTTTCGACTGGTTTAAAGCTATTAAGGTGGAGCCGGGGGGGGCTATAACCTCAGTTTTTGGATCAGAAATTTGTGTTGGTTTTTCTGGGATCGGTTTAATTCCATTTACTGTAAACCATTTGCTTAGAGTACAAGACAACTCCAGAAAAACAGTTAATCAGAAGAACTGTAGCCCAAGAAACCGGAATCGTTAGATAGCTTTGCACGACGTTCTTATTTGTATTTTTCCATATTAACGTGAATGCATTCACAATCACTGCAAATGAACCTCCGATACCTTTTTGATTAATGGTTAACTAACAGATTTGTTTTTTCTTGATTTCAGATTCTCTTCTACTGTGCCTTAAAATGTAAATATGTAAATAGTTAAATATGTAAATAAAAAAAGAGATATATTTAAGCCATTACAAGTTCGTATCGATAAAAAGAATTTACGTCACTTCCGTTTCTTCTGTAAGAGAACACAACAAGTAAATTGTTCGCAGTTAATATTTCTTTTCACGTCTTGCCTCGATCTTAGTAACAAGTCCTTTAATAAGAGCAAATTGTTCAGTATTTCTTCAGTCAATTCCTTCTGATCCAGTTTTCAGTTTTTTATGGTTTAAGTTGTAAATAAGCAAAAATGTAAATATGTAAATAGTGGAGAAGGAAGCCATAACCAGTATCATAGCATATACTTCATAACAGAACGGGAAACTTGGTTATCTTCGTCTGCTTTTTTTCCAATTGAAGCGGATAGTAACTTGTTGGTAGTTTATACTGTACAAGTAATTTGTTCTTTGGAGTAAGAAAAAGATTGTAAGTCCTGAAAGCTGTTGAAAAAAATACTTTTTTTAACAATAACTTACCAAATTGAGAAAAACCAAACTAGCCACAAAATTAACAGGGACGGTGAAGCCGAGGTGCTGAAGACATTTTCTAACTTAAGCTTTAGGCTCCACAGTCTCCCCGCTTCAAGGTACTAGTCACTTGTACTCCACCCTCACAATTTCCGCCGTCCCTGTTTAAGTTGTGATCAAGCAAAAACAATCGAAGACTCTTGTCACAGGTTATTCCAAACAGCAATTGCACTTGGCTTGGTTTTTATTTTATAAGTGGTAGTTATATTTGTTAGGGTGTTGCTGTTTTTTTTTTTTTTTTTCATGTCATGATTTCAATGCAAAATTCTCACTATAGTATGTAACGTGGATTACTTGGATGTCATTAGACGTACAATGACGTCATCCTTCATTTTCATTTAGTGTGGACTCGTGTGTTTTATATCATACTTATTTGTTTATTGT